TGAAGCAGCAGCCAGGGGAACATGAGAAGTCCTTTCCATGAGACCCGCTTGTGTCAGAACAACTGCATTCCACCACTCAGGGAAAATCCAACATTTCATGTTTGCGCCCGCCTAGAATTACAATACGAATGTAATAAATGAAGAACTGATAATCGTCAAAACTGACTCAGTACCAGACTAAACACGTACAAGTCTGATTTCTCCTACGCCAAATAGCCACAGCACTTGACATAAAGAAATTAAATAATCATCGTTATAGTTTCGGGGAGGGGGGTATTCTATCTGCAACATGATTCAACTTCATGGAACAGAGACTTTACTGAGAAGCAAATAATTCCTTAGATATTCAAGAAATTCGCCAATTTTTATGGAATCCGAAGGCTCATCGGGTTCCCAAGAGCCCGCCAGTTGCCCGTGTCCTGATACTATTTTACCGATGAATCGATTAATGAAGATTACAGAATCTACTGGATGCGATATCGACTTCCAGTCGATTCATACGCGCTGTATATTCAACTTTGCATTATCCGACCCTGAACCTGTCGCCTGGCCACAAAGGAACGAGTCTCAGAGCTGTCATAACACGGCAGGAGCTCTGGTTGACGACGTTCTCTAACTTTCCTCATTCAAAAGCATCGTGAAGGTGCTCAGTCCTGATCTGATGGTTTCTTTGTCTTTGACGGAAAACTTGGAAGGTTGCTTCGCTCCTTTTGTGTAAAACGAACAAACTCAAAAGACCAATAGAGTCCGGTCTTTTATTTATAGCTCGTTTTCATCTGTAAGAGGTAAGGCAGTCCCCTTTTATACTGCAGAACTCTATGTGGAATCAAAGTCAGAGTAGACAAATTTGTACTTGCGTACGTCGATATCACTGCTTCATACATTGTACTCGGAGACCTGCATAAATGTGAATCTCATAACAAAACATTAAATCAATTGGCTGCGTGTTTTATTATTGTTGGAATCATCAATTCAAGGAGGGCGAGATGGGAGGGACATGTAGCGCGCATGGAAGAATCCACTCAGAACATCCAGGCGTAGATTTGAGGACAATATTAAAACACATCTCAAGGAAGTGGGTTTTGTAGGTGTGGATTGGATTTATCTGGCTCACCATAGGGACCAGTGGCGTGATCTTGTAAACGCGGTAATAAATCTTTGGATTTCATAAAAGGAAGAGAATTTCTAGACTAGCTGAATGTACTGTTAGCTTCTCAAAAGGACTCTGCTCCATGGAGTTAGTTAAAGCTGAATGTGAACTTGGAACATTAATCAGGACTTAAAGACGTTTCTAAAGATAAACAGATTCTTATATTTCTTCACATTTACGAGATGTTCAGTATTATCAGCCCATTGTTTGTCAGAAATGGGAGCACAGCGGGTGGCAGAGAAGTCAGGCTCCTTCAGAAAAAAGGAGTGTTGTTGGATCAGGGTCTCCTTCAATTATGTGACGCAGACAGAGCTGCCAACTCAAAACACATGACTTGAAGGTAGAAATATAGAGCGAATATGAAGGTAGGAGCCAAAACCAGATATTTACCGGCAAAAGGATTTACATGTCACGCTAAATTTCACATTTCCAAGCTGTTTAAAAATCGCCACGAAGTTGTGTGTCTGAACTAATAAATAAACCTAAAAATTAAAATATAACACCCCAAGAGTTGCATATCGTGCCCCGAAAATTCTTGGCGTGTGTGGATCTGTGTCCTGGAGAGTAATGTCAGATTACGAGATCCATTAGACCTACGCCACAGAAACGTAAACCTAGCGTTAATATTCATAAGTTGGTATACTTGTTTCTTTGGTGCCTGAAATCACCATGTACAAGTCACCACTCTTATCGATTCTAATGTGATCGTTCTTAGGATGTTAAAATGTTTATGGCAGCACGAATACTTACATGCAGTCGAAACTACGCTTGGAATGCCATGGACGGAAGGTCAGTGATGCCTTAGCAACAGGTGTTAAGGTGTAACTAGGCCGCTAGAGGCAAAGAGATTCCTTTCTGCTACATTGATCAGTAGGCTCGTATAACACGGCCGATTTTCATATATAACCATATATTAGGACAGTAATATCAATAAAACGCTATTCGAATTTTAAACTACATTAGTGTACTTTTTAGGTATTTTATATGGGCATTACGTTTCGGAGACCGGTGACGTCTCCGTCTTCAGGGAAGACACTGAAGAGATAGCCTATTTGTATCAACGTATTCTTCATCACAAGCGATTTTTAGAATTTAGATTTTACATTCTAAAACACGGATAGTGGATAACATCTAAAGATATTTCCTTAACAACAATAAAACATTACTGTCACAACAATTTAAAGCGTGATTAAAAGGAATATGAAACGGAGAAACAAGGCTTACAAAAGAATAAAAAATTTTGAGAAATTTTTTTGCCCCCCCCCCTCCCCAACTAATGAGTTAACTCCTTGTAGTAAAGTCCTTCTTGAGAATCTAATAGTATCTCAGCTGGTCCAGATATTCACAGTCGTTTACAGAATCCGCATTAACGTGCTCAGACAAGCCTATAAACGATCACTATTGTTTACTTGTGTTATATGAACAGACAATAAAACTGGTAAATAAAGGGGCTAGCTATACCACCCTCTACGTTTTTGCTTACATATAAGCTTAATGCTAGTTACGCCCTAAAAGTTGTTTCCTTATAAACACACACAATTTCGAAATTCTTTAATGCTCATGGACAGAGAATAATTTTCTGTGCGGGTTCCCCCACCATGAATCACGCAATCCCATCTTTGGGAATCAACTCACAGCTTTACTTAAAGTAAACTGCTTTGTTATCAGAATGGAGTATCGTCATATTGCAGAACTCGTATTGTAAAGTGGGCGATAAGTTAAATCTAGATTAACAAAACACACGCAACATTTATACTTAAGACAGCATTCTAAGATAAGATCAAGCAAGTCGAAAACACAAGTACAAACTTCGACATATTTTATTTTAATTTTGTCCAAAAAAGACTTCAAAGTAAGATATGGACATTGTTGGAAGGATAATATTAAAAACGATTTCAGAGATATAAGGTAGGTATGAGGATGTAAACTGAATTCAATTGGCTCAGAAGAGGATGCAATGGCGGTCTTTTGTGAACATGGTAATGGACACTTGAGGTTCATAAGTGCGGACAATTTCTGGTCCTAGCGACTGTCAGCTTGTCGCGAACCTTACACTAGAGACGAGCATTTCACGAGCCTTCGCTGTCATTTGCGTCGTGAATGTTTTCTACTTTTGTCTTCTGAATTGGCATGAATGTGCTGACTCCGACACTAAACCCTTTGGAGCCAAGTGGTAAGTATATGCACCACCTGCTTGATTAATCAGTAACTCGGCATAACAGGAGGATGCATTATATAATTATTATAATAAACAGCGAATTCTGACGACATTAACCAACCGATCTTTCTAATTCAGACGAGATGCGGTTTTTTCACCGACGTTTTAGAGATGCTCACTGCGTCCATAATCAAGGCGCAATATCACTGCCTTCTTCATACCCGCAGCCATGGGAATATGAAATCTCATGTGGACGGTGTCAGCAGCATTGCACAATCTGCACAAAGGCAGTTCTTCAGTACGAAGATTTGTAAGGGTTTTAAGATGAGGTAGAGTTGTTGGTGGATGGATGCTGGAAGATGGATGGTGGGGTGGGAGGGGAACGGGTAACACGGGTGACCGCCGTGGGTGGAGCCCCTGTCCTCCCTCCACGGTGTTGGCTGCCAGGTTGCCAGACCACTCTACCTCCGTGGGAACATGCCAACCAGCCTACCTACCTACTCGGCCCGAAACCTCTGAAGAAATTTCTACAACGCTTTCGCTGATTCAGAACTCCGGATCACTGTATGCGCTTAGCGCTAACCTCATCACACATGCAACATAACCTAACAATTTTAAATTGACTAGACATCTTTGTAGGAGGTCCTGAACGCGTGGAGTTATACCTTCACTCCCAGAAACCTTTTTCCCGGAGCGGTGTTCCTAATAAAACACAAGGAAAGATTAAACTTTGATCTGCTGTTGAGGTCATGTAACGACGAATTAAATGTGACAGGAAGGAAAATAACGATTTCTGACGGGTTTGGTGAATGCTTATTTTAAACTGGTTAAATTTCTGACACTTGCCGAACATAGTGAATAAAAAATCTCAGTCCGCAAAACCGGTCTCCCTACTGGGTATATTTCAAGAGGGTAATAACCAGCTTTGGGACTGCACAGCACAACTTATGTATTCTTACTGTACAGATTTTAAACTTTATCATTATCCTCTTGAAAAGATATTAAACGTGGAGGAATAAGGTAACAACTCAGCAGCTTACATCACAAAAATAGGTAAAATGCCACTCCATAAATTTTATGACACCCAACAGCCTTGAACACAGCTGCAAGTCCACAGTTGGTAATGCGAATTAGCATCAGCAATGTCGTAACACAGAACAACCACAAGACTTGATTTATCTGTCAGTTCTCTGATCACAATATAACAGCTACTGATGAATCCTTTGAAGGCTTGTACAGCTGAAAAACTCGCGAACAACAGTAACAAATAACATTGTAACCTATTTATAATTAAACTAACCTTTCCATGCTGAGGTTTTAATTGAAGAAACCTTCCTTTAAGAGATTTGAGGTTCTTGTGGGGGCGAGACTTCTTGGTTGTTGGGCCGTCTGGCAGAAGCGTACCGACGTTTCAGAGATGCATCCTGCCCCATCACCAGGGCGACCATCTTCTTGGTGTTCTCCACCCATCTCTATCTTGGTCATGTAAGTGGATGTCTCAGAAAACGTTCCTCCACTAATAACAGAAAGCCATACATCACTAAAATTAACTGAAAATTTCTTGAAATATTTCACGACAGTTTCTCTTAACCTTTCTCCAAATACATCAGACACTATCATTTCATTTGAGCATAAATAATCTGTGTAACTGGCACAGCGTCTTTATTTTACTTTGAAGAATAAACTGATCCTGCATAACGAATTAATGAACGATTACGAGTGAGTAATTAAACAGTTCACGAATGCGCTACAAAGTGAGGTGAGAGTCAGATCAATGAAGATCACTCCCCTCGCATTTCGTATCCATCTAACGACGTATAACCTTGTGAACAGCTTGCATCACGCCCTTAACAACGAACTGCTCCCATAAAGAGGTTTCCCATGATGGCGTATTGATAGTTCGTGAGTAGCTAATTAGTTAGAATTATAGTTAAGAAAGTCGTGACATATTTTTCATTGTTCTATAGCAACTTTCGAAACAGGTGATTGATTAGTAGGCTCGATCTGGATTAGATCCACGGACCTCACCGCAGAGCGTTGCTAATTGTACAAGATTGGAAAGGTATACTCTCTACAGAAGATTACACTGACATTTCAAAGTTCTTCACGTAGAACAATGCGTATGGACAGCAGGAACAAACGGTCCATATTGTTGTGCTACAATGATACCCGATCATGCAGGTTGCCTACCCCCGTAGATAACTGCGACAGATGGGGAAGGCTAATAACAGGTTTTTCGCTCAGGCTTCACCGTGAAGACACCTACAAATATTGAGCACAGTTTTGAAGAGAGACACGTGGATATCAGCCAATGTGTGCTAACCTCAAGAGGTTTATATTATGTAAGAAAAGAATGTCTTAGCTTAATGTCTCCACTTTATGCTTGTTACTGAAGGAAGAAAAAGAAACATTATAGGACAAATAATGTTTTTGCATTCTCTGTTCTCGTCCTAATAATTTGAGCGCCATTTTTCCAACTGCAGGTTCCTAGCGTACTTGTTGCTATCCCAGCCGGTGATTGAACCCGGATCTGTCGCAGTCCGTGCTACAGCCTTCGTCGTTTAAACGACAAAATAAAGCACGACAGAAAATATTTCCCGGTTGCTTTAAAACTTCTTATTTAAAGTTTTTATCCGGTTTATTCAAATTTAACGAAACATATAAAAACATCATTTACGCGTTCTGAAGAAACAGTCTACATTAAAATTATATTTGCCTGAAAATGTATGATGTGCATCCCCCAAGCCGGTTCCGTACTTTCGTAGGGGGGCATACCAAAATATCAGTATCAATATATATCGCGATGCTGATGATGGAGGGAACAAGCTCCTCTGAAACGTCGGTAAATTTCTACCAGACTACCCGGCGCAACAACCTAGAAGACAACCACCTTCAGGCTGAGGTCTCTTCCCACCAAACGCATTCGTTCCATCTTTTCCGATCTGTTCCTGGAGTATTATCACTTTCTATGTCATTATTTTTGGATAACGATAATCTTCTAGGCTGACACCGTTTGGACTCGTAGGCAGAGACCAGTTTCAGAGAAACTGTCGGCATCTTCAGGGCTGAATATTTCTTACAAAGGTCATTTATCTACCAAGGAGTCTACAAGACACCACAACCCAGGACAACAATATCGTCATTGTCACCGCCGTGAGAACCTCAAATATCACTTATTTTAGAAAGTTTCAGCTTTTTTTTCAGGATTCTTCCAGTCGTTCTTTAAAAGTTAGGTTACACATGTCTTCAGACATCGTGTTGTCCCACTGCTGCCCCATAAGTTCCGACCAATAATTTCCTTGTGTGAGCTGCATATGCGGTATTAAGAAAGGCAACCATCTCCCCCTCCCACCACTGAACTTGGAAAGCAAGACTGGATCTGAGTTGTCTCTGTCTGAGACAGGTGGTCTTCACGATCCTACGAGTCCCGTCTACCAATGGGAGGCTTTGTCTGGCTGATGACCTTCGACCTTTCCGGCAAAGGACGTCCTACCAGTAGTTAACGCTACCTGCTGCATAGCTCTCCTCATACAAATGTTTGCAAATTATACGTTCGCGTTCCAAAGTTAGTTTCAGCTCACTTTGCAAGCTTCTTGTATCGCAGAATGAATCCTTCTTCAAAGTGTAATTAGCAACTTCGAATCCTGATCACAACGTACGCCTATTTATTGTTTTCAGAATAATCAGCTATTATTTTCCTAGCGTCACTAAACCCATAATCTTTTCGGAGATGTGGTGTTTCTATTCGAAGTAAGACCAACATTTCAAATGTTATTTCATTCTGTAAAGACTGATTTATTCATACATTATTCCAACTGCACAGATTACGAAGCGTAAAATTACATGGGAAGACGATGATGAATCATAAGTGGGTAAGTTATTAAAGTACTGTCATCTCGGCTAGTAGACTGATTGAGGAAAATCGTGAAAATCCGGTCTTGATTCGAACTTCGTACATCATACGCATACAAAGCCTGGAGTTGTACTGCCACTGACACCTACTCGATCAATCCTTGAGTAAAGTGTTACATTATTTGTTTAATAATTTACTAATGTAGCGTTCGTGCTAGATAAACAGAACTCGCAGACTTGTAACGATTATCAAATGAATCTCAGTTTATAAATTTCGCTGTCGCAGAACATATTATGACTACTATTCTCAACATACTGGGAGTTGTATGATTTGAGGTTTTCACAGCTATGAATCGCCCTGATGACGGAGGCAGTATGACCTCTGAAACGTTGGTTAACATCGACCAGACTACACGGCGCTACAACCCAGAAGACAGAAATCTTCATCGCCCTGATGACGGAGGCAGTATGACCTCTGAAACGTTGGTTAACATCGACCAGACTACACAGCGCAACAACCCAAAAGACAGAAATCTTCATACTGGGAGTTGCAGCACATAAAAAGAATTAGCTCTTATAAATGCATTGTCTGTTCCATCAGTGGCTTTAGTCCACCGAACAGAAAATGGGTATGAAAGCGAATGGCATGCACTTGACCCCCCTCTTCCGCGCTCCTGTGCTGCAGCACTTGTTCCAACTCGTGCACATTGTTCAAGTCAGTGCTTAGAGACGGTCTCTAAAGAGGTGAGAGAGACCTGGTCATGATTTGCCCTAGGCCAGTAGGTAAGAGGAGAACCACTATGCAGCTGACAAATCCGTCCAGCTGCGTTCATCTGTGTTCCAATACTAACAACACGAAGAGGACGCCAATGTCTGGTCTGCCTCCACGTGTAATTAAGGCGGACGGGAAACAGCAATTTGCTGTCGTAATTTTATACAGCAGTCAACTGATGGACCAGATACTTGACAAAAATAACAAGTCATAATCAGACCTAACCGAATGACGAAATAGATCAAACTAAAATCAGGAAATGTCGATGTTGGTCCTCAGGGTTGTATCGCCGTGAGGAATTGTAGGTAGATATAAAGGAACGTACTGCCTCCATCTTCAGACCTTAAGACTAACATGGACATTTTCACCGCCGTGAGGATCTCAGATCTCATAGTGCAACAAAGGATATTAAAATATGCAAAGTTACTGCTTCTCCTTGTTTCGGGTGAATGTGGTGGGACTTGGCTTCTCACAGGAAGACAACATATTCAGGGTGTCTGAGAGTAGACTGCTTAGGAAGATATTTGGAATTAAGAAAGAGAAAATAACAGAAAAACTATATTTACAGTTTACAAGAAGTTGTCACCTTTTCAAAACAGAAAAAATAATCTGCGTT